CTTATTTGCTCCCTTTTGGTCTATTAAAGTGATATTAAAGTCAAAAGACATAAAATTAAAGTAATGTTGAATTCACTTACAATAGATGCTGCATCTTTATGTTTAAAAGGTTTACTTTCCTGTAGAATCAGCTGGTTCCCTGAGATCCTGTTTTAGGGCGATTCCTTTCGCCTGCAGGATCCTATTGAGCCACCCTTGTGTGAGTTAATAAGCTGTGCGTGTCTCCACAAACATAAAGACAAAGCAAGGCAATCCAATCCTCTGCTCTTTCATCCCTTCTCCCCCTCCTCCCTTCTCCAAGTCAGTAGATGGACAGCTGTTGCAGACTGCTTTGCCCCTTGTGATCTTGTACTGGACAGGAAGTTCAGGGAACATGATAACTGTAAGTACATGGGTGAAAATATAAAGCAATGCTTTGCTGGGCAATGTACATTGTAATGTATATGAGTTTATTAATACTTTAAATATACCTTTAGAAAGTGATTTGTGATATCTGTTTGATAAATGCAGAAAGTCTGTAGTCTTAACACCTATCCTGGTCCAGGGTAACAGCGCTGCACCTTAAAAGGAGAACTATGAGGTGAGTGAAAATCACTCAACCTCATAGTTCGAGCCGACGTGTGACAATGAAACTGCTGTCACACGTCGACTCAATAGATCGGGAAGTGAGTGAACACATACCGTTGCTCGCTCACTTCTCGATCATGTCCCTGCAGAGAGCAGTGACTGTCACTAACGGCTCCCTGCAGGGATCCCCCCCTCCCCGTTCCGATCCTCCAGCGCTGCCTGGAGGAATGGACAGGGGAGGGGTCGGGTACAGCTGGCTCTGCCTCCAGATAGGTAGAGCCAGCTGCCACTCACGCAGGTGGGTGGATTTCGACGGTAATGTTGGGATCCATCCTGACTGTGGCGGTCTCAATATACCTTGTGCAGTTGCTCGCAATATACTGAGCTTTGGGTCACGGGAGGACGCTAGTTTATGTCCTCCTGTGACCCTTAGGAGAACTATGGAGAAAAACACTTACCCCATTACACTCTTTTAATAGACACAGGACATTGAGTAAGCACTGTCAACCTAGGACACAAAGTGTTTTACTGGCCGGATCACCAGCTGAAAATAAAGTTAAAAAAAGTCTGTTAAAAGAAAACTAATACGATCTCAACATTGGATTGGTAAACTGGAAGACTTACTGTATAATATTTCATATTGGGGGTATATACACTTGAGCCAGAGCAACAAATCATTTTGTATTGCACATGAGTGAATTCCTGTTTAGATTTAGCACTAGCGACCTGTGTCATCTAATTGTCTCTACATACAGCTACTCTATAACTACATGCTCTTTGATGCCCTGAAATCTCTAGGTACAACGAGCACATCCAGCAAGAAAAAAAAGAGGGGCTGATCAAGCAAAGAGTAGGAACACTGTGCCCACAACCCCACAGAGGCAATACCCGCTGCTATGATTTATAGGCGCAGGATCCGGAAAGAAACAAAATAGAATCAATGTCTCCACAGTACCTGTTACACAAAGATGACTTCATATTTATAGAAAATAAAGGGACAATTTATTCTGCAAGTACATTTGCGTATGATTACCCAGCAACAGTGCTCTATATAAGCTAACAATGCCGATGTGATGTAGGGAAATGTAAAGTAACCCCTACTTGCGTCCCCACTCTACTGACTCAGTTTTGTGCTCCAGCAGACAGGAAGGCTTAGTCACAAAGTGCTGCAAATTGGGCTCACGTCATATTCCTTTTTTTTTGCTGGGAAACAATGTGCCTGAAAAGAGCACAGGGAGGCAGACAGAAACATATACCTTCCCTATCGGCATTACTAACACTTTGGTTTATACATTGACAGACCCTCAGGCACCAAATCTAATTGATTCTCTTTTTTCAGCTTCAAGGGGAAAGATGTCATGTTACTTTTTATTCCAGCATGTAGAACTGTTTAAAGCTCTGGCCTTTAGTAGAATATTTCATTAGACTCTAAACCAGGCTTTCAAATATTCTATACTTATTATTCTTATACCGACCTACAATAGTGATCACATTTTGATAAGCTCTGTAAAGCAAAAGTCCCCACAATTTTGCAAACTTGTTTATAGTGGTGTGCTCAAGTGAAATGCAGGCTTTGTAACTGATACAAAAGGGTCTATTTATAAACAATTTGCAGAGCCATTCGCCATTCCAATCTCTGTGAACGTTTGTTCTGTGTGATTGGAGGCAAAAATGAAGGTACTTGGTATATTTTCTTTTCAGGTTGCATGTAATTTAATACTGCCTTTTGGTCACTAGATGGAGCTGAGGAGCATAGAAAATACTTATTTCCCATACTCAACAGTTTCATCTAGTGGCTCTAATATGGTATTACATGCAATTTGACCTGAAAAGAAAATAAGAACAAATCTTTTTCTGCACTCTTGGTCGCCAGGGTGTAATAATTCTTTTTGAAGAACACTTTAAGAATAAGTGTGCTTTTACATAAATTAAACCTAACTGTACCTCTTTACCCCCAAAGTTCTGATTTCTGATATATTTTTCTAGTTTTCAGTCTGTAATAATGATGTATATTGTTTACCAAATTCAGAGAGAAACTACTTGAAATGCTTGATCATATTTGTGATTAAAGGCTGGAAAATTACAATATGCTTGGCTAGCATTAGAGCCAATTAAAAATATTTGAACATATCCAAACACTGTTGCATGCATGAAGTGGAAAAGAGCTGGCACTCGTAGGAATCCCCTTAATGGCGTTTCTTTATTGAAAAGGCAAAAACAAAATTGTCAGTGGGTGGTTCCTTACTTATTTGTATTTATTGCTTTTTAATAAAAAAAATGCCATTAAAAGGATTCCTACGAGTGCCAGCTCTTTTCCACTTCATTTTGTTAATTGGGTCCAGCAGAGATTCATGCTGAGCACCGCGGTCCCCATGGAGTATTGGGTCTGAGAAGGTAGCGCGGCTTTATTCTTGTATTGCATACTGTTGCATACAGTCTCATCCATTTTTTTGTGACTGCTTTTAATCCTGAGTCCACACATATTTAAGATTTCTTAGCAATTCCATCTTACACAATGTACTCCTCCATTGTGTGCCTTCATGTAACTGTTATCTAGTCTTTTAAAGCAGATCTCCAGCTCTATTAGCCAGAAGTCCCTTCTGTGCTCCTCTATGGTTTAGTTTCACTTTGTTACTTGGGCCTGACCTTCCCTGACTTCATGGATAAGGCCTGCCAACTGCTATTATTCCACTGCCTAATAAGCTTGCCTCAGAAGTCAGTGAGAGCACTCTCATCAGACACAGGTTGGCAGTTATTGGATCACAGCCAGACATACAGGAAACATGCTAAATCAGAAAGGGATACCAGGAGCTTTAATTGGTTATTAATAACAGTAAACATAGGGATCTTGTTTTATATGCTCCCACTCAGGACTTTTAAATATTCAAATGGAGTACATGTTTACTTTATAGTGGCAACCCCATTTTTTATCACTAACATTTTTGTCATGCTGTGAGAGTTTAAGCACTTGTGTTACTTCATCTCCTTGTGGATTACATACAAGAAGATGGACCAAGAAAAAACAGAAATACTCTTGATGGATTTCAAAAAATACATCCGGGCTGTAATGAGGCCGTCTCCAAGGTGCAGTGAGTAGCTGGTTCAAATGGGGTGTTGGCATGAGCATGCTGGGAAGTGTTTTATGCTACACTAATAAATTTAAATTCCAAAAAAAGGAGCTTTTCACTGTAGCCTGTGATCCTGTTGTGGAGATTCTACTGTCTTCCTGTCTGCAATTACTTCCTCCAGCTTTTGCCATACATCACTGCTTTTGACTGGCTTGTGGCAGGGTTACAAGGCAGAAGCACTATTGGGAGACAATTGTTACCCTATAATAGAAAGTGCCTAAACAAGAACATTCATAGCAAGATCACCATATAGTATTTTAATGACAGCTGTTTTTTTAAACTACAATAACATGCTAAAGTGCAGTGGCGGAACTACCGCCGGTGCAGCAGGTGCCTGAGGCTGTGGGGGGGCCAGGTGGGGTCCGGTCCTGGGCACCCCCACAGCCTCAGTGGGGTCCGGTCTTGCAATATGGGGCAGTGCACGGTCCCGGTGTTCGAACACAGGGCCCCGCACTGCCGACGGGCTTCTCAGTGAGGGGGCTGGTCCTGTGACTCACCTACCCTCCCGGCCGTGTCCATAGTAACAGGCGGCGGGAGGGGAGGTGAGTCACAGGAGGCATGTGTGTCACAAGCCCCGCCCCCTGCAGTGCACACATCGAAACTCCATTGGCTGCGGCCCTCTGGCTGGGTAAGTCCGAACGCTGGTGCATGTGCAGGAGAACCGATCTGCCCTGAAACAGCTGATCGGTCCTGAAATGTAACTTCTATCCGACTTTGTGAGTGTGGTGGAATGTGAGATTGCAGTCGGAGAGAAGTGACATTTCAGGAACGATCAGCTGTTTCAGGGCAGATCGGTTCTCCTGCACATGCGATTTGCGATGCCCTGGAACAGCTGGGAAAGCGCTGGAATGCTTCACCTATTGGCGGTCACACACCGAAAAACTGGGCGGGATTACGTTAAAACGTGTGACCTCGTCACCGGTCACATATTCTAACGTAGTCACAACCTTTGATAGAACACTGCCATCACGGGGGTATGGCCGATACCCATGTGAGGGGTCTGGGGGGCCTCTTACATGGGTATCAACTGTACCGAGGCGGCATCCCGACGCCAAGACCAGACCAGCCCACCTCGGACACTGCAGAGCCCACCATAGAAAGTCTCAGGTGGGCTATGCAGGATCTATGGCGTGCTCTGCATTGGCTTGGTTATTAGGTCAGCCACTGCTAAAGTGTATCTAAACCAAGGAAAACTAAATATTAAATACTGTAGCTTACTAATCCTTAAATGTGATGGCTGCATTTGCTTTCTTTATTTAGACATGTTTTCCTTTTTTTTCACCCGGTGATCAAGCCAAATCGAACACTTTCTGTCCTAGGATGACTGCTCTCTTTACAGTATCTATGGAGGAGCAGAGTTGTCACCCTAGGACAAAAAGAACACCCCCCTCTCTCCTCATCATTGTAACATTGGGCAGCACAGTGGCGTAGTGGTTAGCGCTTCTCTTGCAGCACTGGGGGTTATTTGGCTGTGTGCCAGGAGTTCATCTTTGAAGAATAAATGGGTTAAAAGGTAGGTAGTACTGTTCACCTAGGACCAGAAACAAGAAAACACTTTAACAAAAAAGATACATCCAATATGTTTATTGTATCTATGCTTCCCAACTTTTGCCAAAGTAATAGCATACCATTGATAGATACATTGTCCAGTATTGCTTATATTAGAGCACCGTCAATTTTTTTTCTAAACAAAGATGCTGTGTTCACCATAACTACACACAAAAGGGAGAGAGAGAATGCCGAAGACTGACGCTGTCACTGTATCAATATATATGAGGGGCAGTGCAGTATGGCAAACTCTATTCTATGCAGCATGCTGTCTTTACTTGTGAAGATAACACAATAAGAAAAAAGAAATAGCAAACAAGGATAGAATTGATTGTAATGACAAGAAACGTAATGAAAAATACGTGCCCTTCAAAAGTTACAGTAATGTACAAATTTTTACTTGCAATAAGATGTAACATCTCTTTTTGCTGCTATGCACAATGAACAATCATGAATGTTCTCGTTATATCCTTGCTGCTATGTACAATAAACAATAATGAATGTTCTTCTATTCTCCAAGAAATTTGTAGTGAATTGTGAAGGTAAAGATTCCTGAAAACTTATGACACATTTATCACATTATTCATAGGAACAGAATACGCCTGTCGGGAGAACAATAAGCAGGTAGGGAAATATAGGATATATTTACAACTGCTGGTAACACTGAAAGTTGTGGACAGCACACCATTGGTAAAGATATGGCCCTTGGATGTGGCACATCAGGAGTACTTCATGTGACAAAGAACATTCATGAGATAATAGAAGCATGTCAGCTTCCTTGTCCTCTTCCGAAATATTCTTCCCCACCTGGTCCCGCCCCTTGTTTCTCTGCTCAAGGCTTCACGTTTAGGGAAGTGGCTGATCTATCATGGTGCCAGTCACGCAAGCGAGTATACCGGGGGCTCTGAAGCTCTGTGATGAACTTTTCCCTGTGTCACCGGGAGGGAGGGAGGGAGGGAATGGAAAGTGAAAATATAAGGGAGATAAGAAAGAACAATAAAAGGATCAGAATAGGAAATATAAGAAATGACAAAAGGAAAAAAACAAGTATAGATAAAAGAAGAACTTTTAGAACCCTTTATCATGATGGCAAATGATCACCTGGTAAAGATTGGTAAATATATGCTTTAAAAGATAACTAAACCAAAGAACAAAAACATGCATTGCAGCTTGCCAGTCCTTAGATGTGATGACTGCATCCTTTTTCATTTTTCAGACTTAGAATATTTTCAGCAAGTACAGAAAATACCCACTGATCTTGCCAGAAATGCAGAGTCCTTGTAACGTCCTGTGAACTACACTGATATATCAAACAATGTTAACTTTCTTCTAAGCTGTCTTTTGTAAATTACTAGTCTATGTAATGGAAATGAAGAGTAGAGCACGTTTAAAGCCCGACAACCAGCGTTCCATTCAGCATAGCCACCCTAGGACAGGAAGCTGCAATATATTAGGTTTTTGTTTTTGAGTTTAGATACACATTAACAATTACTTCTTATAAGTTGCTGTTTATTTTAGGCATGTTGAAATGTATTTTGTGTGTACGTATGAACATACATTTCCTATATGTGTCAAGAGGATACTTTCTGCTATTGCATGCAGCTGCATCTGGTAAAATGCATGTAAAGTGCATGGCAGGTGCATATTTATTGCCAAAGGCTAAACTGCAGCAAGCAGTACTTCTTAAACACCCACTACACAAAACACATTAGTGAGAGTTGTACCATTAAAACCAATAGTAACAGAACTCTCATTATGTGATCGGTGCAGTTTAAAGAGCTGAAAACGGAACACAATATGCATAGGAGTGACTAGACCAGAAGATTCAATCTGCTCCAAGTTTATTGAGGGCTACTTTAATCCTTTATAAAAGGCCTGTTGATAGGTAAAACTGCATATATTTTACTTTTTTTTATGTTTTCCATTTACATTTTTACCAACTTATACATATATTGATTTATGCAGCTGCATTTGTAGAAAACAATCACTGAACTTTTCATATTTATCTTCTGGTAAAATTTAAAGGTATTTACACTTCATAATAAGTATAATATTTACAGGATTGCTGCTGGACAGCTGATTTGGTTCTTAAGAGCCAGGACAAATATTGGATTTTATGGCTTTTTACATTTTGCTTAGGACCCAGCTGTTAAGGCATTTTAAGTATAAAGTTGTTGGCCTTTTAAGTGTAGAGAGCCCAGCGCAGTAACTGGGGTTAAACTGTAGCCGCAGCTTTAAGTGTGTCTGCTCTGCAAAATATATTTATAGAATACAGGCTCTGGCCCACTTGAAAAGGAAGCTAGTTTCTAATTAATATACTAAAGCTAAACTATATTTAAAATTTAAAAAATAAAGCTGGCAACAAGAAACATATGTTTTTGAAGACTTTATGTGTTTGGGTCTACGTTAATACACAATGTTGAGTTAGCACTCCACATGGTCATAAAGTATTATTAAGCACTCTTTTTTTATTGTTTTCAAGTCAAGGCATTTAAACTACACACATGGATTACATTGTCTTTCTATATCTCCCACTCAATTTTATTAAGCCTGGACCATATTAATATGGTCCAGGCTGTTATGTATAAAAATACGTGTCTCAGTAGTGTATATCTATCTTAGAAGGAGGTAACCATTCTCCAACTCTCAGGCCACATTCTAGATGTAGATTATGTCTTTCTGAGAAAGGTGTGTTCACCAATGACAGATTTAAAGTGAACTCCGACCTGGCTAAATCTTCTCTAAAGTAACTGCACTTGGATCTAAGGGGCAGGTTGTACTTGGGACCTCGACTTCTGCCCAAGTCAAGATTAAGTCCCAACTTTTACAGTGTTTAGCCCAGCCCTTATTTATCTGTCAAATACTAGAACCTCAGTGGGCGGTAAAGGCACTGGAAATTAGAAACTGAATGACAATGGTGTGGCTTAATCTCAACTTGGACCTAAAATCCAAGGGGGCTCCAAAGATCCAATGGATTTGATTTGAAGACTGGTTGGATGCATCACAATGTGCCTGAACTTCATCACTTCTAAATATTTCAGACCAGTTAAGGCTCCCTTTAAATAGATTCTCACTTTCAATTGGAAAGTAAAAAAACCTTTTGTCATGCTCATCCCTATTCATAACCCCCTGTTTTCAGAAAGTAGGGCAAAGCTATATAGGTGATTTTAAGTCAGCCTAATATTTAATGTTTATGGGTAATAAATAATAGTAACAGCGTATAACAAGGGGATACACGGCTGATATTTCTCAATATAGATATTGAAAACACTGCAGGGACTATTCTATAAGATTCGGAAAAATAGGTGTAGTAAAAACTTCCTACCATAATTTAGATCTAATAACCTAATCTGTAATTCACCTGAAGAATTTTAAATTGGAGAAAAAACTGAAGCAGTGTAATGCTTTGGCTAGTATTGTTAATTAAAGTGATATTAAAGCCACACCCCTTCCTTCATTGATTGATGGCAGAAGGAGCCTATGGCTACTCTGCCATCAGTATCCTCCCCCGCAGCCCGGAAGTTCGGGGTACGGAGGATCACTTCGGGACCGGCGGCAGGGACGAGCGCAGCTGAGAGGTAAGTGTGGGGGAGACTGGGGTAAAAAAAAGGTCCTGGGCTGTTTTTACCCTAATGCAGAGAATCCATTAAGGTAAAAAACGACCTTAATACTACTTTAATCTACCACTGCATTTTGATGATATTAATATGATTAAAGCTTTTTGCACCCATTCTGTTAGCAGGACTGCATACCTGAAAGCCCAGCTGAGTTCAGTCAGGTTCTGAATTATCTGACAAGACAGTAGGATTCCCTGAACAACAAATACATTAGGACTGCCATTTCAGAAATGAAATGCAGAGGTGTGTCTCATGGTTGTCTGACACATTCTATCATGCAAATGTAAAATGACAACTGCAACTGAATAGTTGCTACTAGCAACACCTCATTTTGCTTTCCTTGGGGCTTCTGTGTTTCTGGGGCTTCTGTGTTTAAAAAAAAAAACTGGAGTATTGTGAAATTGTGTATATTACATAAATGATCTAATGAAGTATGTGCAATATTTGAGATTTACTGGTCTTTTTAAAACTTGCTATTTTCATGAAGATTGCCATTGCCTTGTACTTATAGCTGATACTTACCTCATTCTTTTCATTTGTTCATCATCAGGGTCTTGCACTGCAATTATTGAGAGATAACAGAAAAGAATAGACAGAAAAAAGAAGAGCATGAGAATGAGTCAGGGAAGATAAAGTAAGGGACAGTAGGTAAAACTGTTGGGAGAAGGGTAACTCTACATCTTTTGTAGTAGTAGTTAGTAGTAAAGCTATTACTGATACGAAGTATGTTAGAGGACATACAGTAGATATTACTTTTACTTGTTTCAATTACGTTTTTAGTCTGTTTTGTATTTTTGAGGCTGTGCTATTACGGAGCTGCAGTTCTCACACAATCTAACAATCAGGAATCAATCAGCATGGATCATCATGATCATAAATTTGCAATTATGGCATTCTTAAAAAACAAACCTGCCTTCTAAATTACAATTTTTTTTCTCATTTAAAAATTAAGACGTGTTATGTGTAAAAAGACAAAACAAAAAAAATCCAATTTGTCAGATTATGATAAAAACATGAGAATACATTTCTTTAAAAAATAAAAATGTATCCCCTGAGTACTATGGGTTAGCCAAAGACACATCACAGGAAAAATGCTTGCAATTTAGAGCATAGGAAAGCAGGGCCTAATTTCCAAGTTTACAAATACACTAAAAACTTAAAAAGACTGCCTATAGTTACACATTTTTACTTTGCAATTTTGCTCCAAAATCACTGGACTTTAAAATTAACAATTAACCTGCTATGCATTTTTACTCTTTTGCTAGAGTAGAACATGCTCTATGGTTTTGTCCTGTCTAAGAGTGACAAAATGTATACTAATAATCGGCTAACTAATCGATTTTGAAAATAATCGTTAGCTGCAGCTCTACTTTAAATTAAAACAGATTAATGGGAAATCATCAAAAGTTAGTTCCTCATCCATGTGCTGAGTCCACCACCCCGAGTGCCACTCCCCCATTGTGAGAAATTACTCTGCAAAATACCTTTTCTAACCCTAACTCCTACACAGCCAATGAGATAAAATACTAAAGAAAACCTCGGCTCTCCGTCAAACCCCCACACCCTAATAGTGGCAGTTGATTTATCTTTTAAATGCCACACACCCATGGCTGCTTCTTTGTTAAAGAGCTTTAAAAACACGGTGCTGGGAACAGGGGGCAGTGCAAATTTTCCATCGTAATGGCAGCCACACAGAAATATCCTCTCCAAATGGGTGGTGCTGCTTGACTGGTACACTAGAATGAGCAGTAAGGCAGTAGCTGCCATTTGCTTAAAAACAGTGGCCATTGCCTAGCCTTTTGCACTTGTGTTCCTCTGCTTCACATACTACCTGCCATTGTAGCCTCTATATTCCTCTTCTGAACATACTGCCCCACAGCATACCATCTGCAATCCCTGCCTATACATATTACCTGTTAAACACTTCTTCAGCATTGCCTGTTCTGGAACAGGCAAATTTTTGCTAATATTAAATGAGTGTCTTAGTAGACTGTTAACAAAAAGGTGAACAAAATATAGTCTAGTGCAATTAACAATTAAATATTTAATTCAATAACTTGAAGTAATAAAGTATTTTTTCTAGCTCAAAAGATTTCAAATTGTGTTATTCTGTTAAAGCTATACACTGAAGCAGTGAAGGGATGGTTTCGGTGATTCAATGAATTTTGCAAACTTTTATGTTTCATTGACAAAGTTTGAACAAGCTAAAGATTTCTGCAACAGCAATACAAATTTGTTAAATATGAATTGACAGTAATTAGCCACCAGTATGCTTTCTATAGCACTCTACATAGCTTACGATATTCTTGTGTATGGTCAATATTGGGCATGTATAACATGGAAAATGTTCCTGCAATTAAATAGTTTATATGGGGCAACAGTCATTATGTTGGCCCACTGCTCCTATAGTATAGCTGAAATGCTTATGTGGCACATCCATGCAGATACACTTACTGAAATCTGTGCCAGTGAGCTGTGCCAGGATGCGGAAGGAGCGGGACTGAGTAGTCCCTGTACGAGGCTTCCAATCCTCGGTGTCCTCCATGAGCCTCTTTTTACTGGAGTCATTAGAAAGGAAGGCTGGTTGGTATTCCATCCTAAGAGAGTGCCTGCCGTTTGGGTAAATGAAGGAATGTGGAGGAAGAGGGGTGGGAGGAGGTGGAGAATACAGGTAGCAGTTAAAGTGATTTCAGTGTTACTCACAAGGCAACACAGCCTATGCAACACATCAGGGTTCACCAGTCTCTTTGGGAGGGGCACTTACTTGTCGTCTAAAAGAAATGCGTCAAAAGAGGGGTGGTTCACTCCGTTCAGGACCTTGGAAACGTTCTGCTCTTTGGGGTTTACACCAACCCTATGAGAGCGAAGAATGTTACATACATAGATACCCTGGGGTTCTATGACAACAAATGTAGCAAGCACATATAACTGCCACTACTTCCAATGACATCCCTGATCCCAGCAGCAATTTTCTTTGTCAACATGCAGACAAATGTATTAGGTGCAAAGGTTCATAAAAGTGAAAAACACACACACATGTTAGTATAGACAAAACAATAAGCAATGCTTACTGACTTTTCTATGTTCTCCACCTGCAAGAAAAAAGAGGGATAAGAAAAGGAAGGGGGAAAGAGAAGACAAATAAATAGGTTAAAAAGAAGGAAAATCTAGTTTAAACATCTTTTCCCATCTAAATTTCTATCCCCAGGCTGACATAGATAGATAGATAGATAGATAGATAGATAGATAGATAGATAGATAGATAGATAGATAGATAGATAGATAGATAGCTCAGTCTGGGTTTTTCATACACTGTAACCTTTCTTAAAGTGACCACATTAGTGCAGTATGCCTTATGGCCAAACCAGTGCTAGCATTTATGCATTGCTTTATAATGGTACTTTTCGAAAAGGTGAACTCAAGCATCTTGCTGGTTGCTGCAGAAAACAGCCCTAGTCCAGCAGCCTTCTTGATTATCCACAACAATTAGAATACATCAGCATTCATCTGCCACAGTGCTTACAGTGCAATAACTATGGACTCCCAGATAGTGCAGGTGCAATCAATGTCCACATTTGATTATTTATATAGAGAAAGGCAAACCATTGCAGTGAACAACGGAAAGTGGCTTCATTCAGTGCAACACTCACATTTCACAAATATATGTGCTTACTCCTGGTTGTACACATTTGCATAGATAAAGTGTTATTTTTCCAAACCCTGTGAATCCAGCACTATGGGTGACAGTATGGGTAAAGCAAATGCTGATCTCTGCCCCTCACCAGCACACACAACCCTAATATGTATTATTTCCAAGAGCTGAAGGGGAGAATGTGCGGTGTAGTATGCTCTGTGAATTTCAGATTAAATACTAGATTTGTGCAATGGTCATGGCAGAACATGTTTGGACCACTCAGATTAAAAGAATCTGCAATTCATTGATACATTTTACATCAGGAAAAACCAAACCACACCCCATGTTTTACATAACACAACTGCAACACTTGACCTATGGAGATTTAACAAACAATATTCTACCACATGCAGAAACCAAGAAACTGTTAGGAAACAATACTAAAATACCTGTCTGAACTGAAGGAGGATGTGAAGAACTCCAATATGTGCACAGCTTCTGTCACTGATCCTTTATGCTGCCAGCCTCAATATAGCCACAGGTCAGATTACTCCAGCCCTAGTAAGGCTTTGGCAGGAGGTAGCAGTGCAGTACCCCACCCCTTATACTCTGCTAAGAACATACAGAGGAGGGGGTACAGGAGCCTCTGCTTCCAATTTCAGTGCAACTCCCACAGTAAACAAGACAACTTCCAATGTGTTAACAGACACCTGTCATCAACACTCTGGGCATTCCGGGTGTCAATTCACCTTACATTCTCAATGGCGCACATTGCACTGTGCAAATTCAAGAACAACACATGATGTCATACAAAAAGAAGTATGATGAAAGTGCAGGGAACACATCAACAAGTAAACAGACCGGCAGGAAGAAGTGTGGGGGAATGGAACTAAGAGGACAGCAATAGGAAGGACCAATGATTAGTGACGCCTAGTGGTATATATATATATAGGGACCGGTCTAGCAGCCAGTTGGCTCCAAAGGTTCAGGTGAGTATCTCTTTTTTATTTTACACCTTAGACACAAACAAGCACTTAACCCTTGTGTGGGGGTAGCCCTACTGCAAGGGTTAAAATGATTTCTGCCCGGAGTTTAATTAACCACAGCAAGCATTTATTTCTCAGTGTTATATGCTCTTTTTCTGCTTTCTTCAATAAATACCTCAAAGAAACTCAATTAAACACAATTAATGTCAACTGGAAGCTAGCGGTATTCATAGGAGCGAACACCTCTGCAGATCAATCCTGTGGGCTGGCTTTTACATATAAAATGTAACCTGCATGCAGTACATTCAGATGATATGCACAATAATCTCTAACTAGTCAATCAAAATGATGTTTCACTGGAAAAATATCACATAATGCAGGAGTGTCTAGAGAAAGTTAAACTAAAAAGATTCCGGATTGGCGCAGATCCTGAAAGGAAGGGGGTCGTGATAAGGAAATATTAGGACTGCATGACATGTACACAGTCATTGTGCAGCATGCAGGGATCTGTACAACATACAGTTCTAAGTACTGCACAGCTGGTCCATGACAGCCTGACAATGGTCACGCTCAGCACCGCTCTGCCTGGTTACTAGGATACAGGATGCTTAGGACCTAAAAAACATCAGCTTCTATTCATTCCACAGATCTCCTGACAGCACAGCACACCGTGGTTTACTTCCAGATTTGCAGCTACTCTCCATGAAAACAGTCATGGGAGGTAAAATAAATGGATATGGACAAGTTTTATACTAATCAAACATTTCCCTGAAGAAAAATACCACTGAAATAGCAAACAAAAAGGAAAACATAACAAAACAAAAGCAAACTTGTACAAGCTGAAAGGTCAATATTAAACAAAATAAAAATAATAGATCTTGGGTGAAAAAAATAACATGGAAAAGTGTCGGTCAGGTGCCTCATTGTGTAACCTGCACTTGGGAATTGATAACTACAATCTAACTGAATGTATATGCTACAAAAACACTTTGGTATCTTCCATCTTATAGTACAAATCCTTCTACTAAAATGAATACATCTACTGACAGCAGGGGCTTTAGAAATTGGAATTTGTCTTCCACTTGCCGATCATTGGTTTATTAAAATGATTAAGTAAACACTTTACATCCCCACAAACCTTTCCCAGCAAGCCATTTTCTTTTAGTATATTTCCTTTTTTTTTTAAATGAGTTATCACTTCACTCACCCCTGCCTCCATTCTTACCCCCCTCCATGATTTCTGCCTTTTGGTCCAATGCACAATGCAAAAAAGTTCTAACTGTAGCTAAGAGGTTCCTAATAATTTGAGCAGAATGTAGTAGTACTGCTGGTCCTAGTCCAGTGAGGGAGCAGTGCCACCTGGTGGCTGTAAGCAGAATCCTAGAAATGGTTCCTGAGCTAACGATTGCTGATACAGTTATTTTTTATTAGAACTGAATATACACATCTGTTAAGCAAAGTGCCAGCCTTGCTCTATGCCAGTTATATTTTCTAGCTCTAACATATAATTCTCTAATACTTAATAAGAAATAAGAATTGTTTACACTGCTTTAAATTAACACTTCATTATTGATGTTTGTCTGGAAAAACTGTTTAAAAGTGACGCTTAGGAAATAGTGTTGCCCGTCACCATTTTAAAAATGGCAAATAAGAAATGGTTTAGATAAAAGCAAAGTCTTATGGGATGTATAAATACAAGGGATATCTAGATGTGTACAAAACATATTTTGAGCTAACACACTGTTTTCAGTTGGCAGGAAGTATGCTAATCATTTGCTACTGTGTCTCAGCGCTGGAGTACAAACATGAGATGTGATGTGAGGCAATCAGGATTCCAGTGTACAGATAACCTGGCAGCCAGACGGTGATCTCACTGCTTGACTAAATACAGCCACTGAGTCAGCATTAGTCTTCATAGTGTGTCTCCACATAAAATCTTACCTTCCTGAAAACTATCAGGGTTATTCACAAAAGGGTGAAGAGTTTGGAGAAGGCAGGAGAAGTGAACGATCTAGGACAACATAGCTGATTTGGAAACATTCTCCAATTCAGCTCACTCTCCAGCTATGTTGTCCTAGATTGATCACTTCTCCTGCCTTCTCCAAACTCATCACCCTTTTGTGAATAACCCTGCTAAAAAGACAAATACAAGACATTCCAGCATAACTTGTGATGATCAAGCTTTGTTGGAAGTCACCAGAGAAAAAAACCCTTCTAGATGTATGGGTATAGTGAGATCATTCCTCCTGTTCCTGATGTTCATTCATCTTGGTAATGCTAGCCACAAGGGCTGACAATCTGTTTTGAAAACCAGCCAACACCTAGTGCAGTGCAAGTGTCTGCATTTGTAAATTTAAAGGGTATAGTACAGAGATCACACAATCATTCTGCAATCTGAGTGTTTCCTTCCACCCTAAGGCCCCATACACACCGGATACATTGTGTTGTGTTACTGTTTTTAAGGGATGATAACACAAGAGCAACGAAAAATGAATAGGTGTGAATGGGAGAGTTCACACCACTGCATTGTGCTGTCGTACATTGCGCTGGAAAAAAAAGTAGAGCATGCTTTTTCAACGAAACGCATACAAAATACGCGCTAATGCAACGCATCATAAGCTATTACAGTGAAGTATGTCCACTCAAGGCATGTTACTTCACATAAAGCTTGCAAGAAAAAGAAATGCGATGAAACGCAACATATTGGAAGGAAATCGGAAGGTACCATCGCAACTCAACTGACCCTCCGATGACCTATGAGTACCTTCTGATTTTGGTGTGAATACATCCTAAAACTGGAGATAGCAAGCAGACTGTGGTCAGTTCTTAAGAAATGGTCCAAACATAGAAATCAATAGCCCTAAAGAGCAATGAAAGTGACCTTGCCACCACAGGGTTACATTAGAAAAACAGCAGCCCTGTAAAAGAACAGGCTGTATACTCACCTTTCTGTCAGCCATGTCTTAAAGCACCACTGCTGCCTGGCCACCACAGGTACACAGGTATTTGACACTTCCAGTTGTGTGAATACCTGCTGTTCCTTCTGCACATAGTGGTTTTTCCTGCTGGCTCTTACATCACTACAGAACATACCAGCCAGCAGTAGGAACCATTCAAGCAGATACCTGCAGTGGCTGGAGATTATTAAAAGGGTGATGGTTCTTGACACGAGCCACAAGAAAGCTAAGTATGGCACCTTTTCTTTTACAGGGCAGGTTTTTTTGGTGAGTGTCCCTGTGGTCACAGGCTTACTTTAAGTAAAAGAGATTTTTAAGTTCCGCAGGAACTCCCAGTTCTGATCATTTTTAAACTTACAACACACTGGTCCTTATAAAGTAAACAGAGGAAAGAGCAGAAATACGAACAGTTGCATGACAAGTGTGGCAAGCCAGATATGACAGAAATGAATGAAACCTTCTGGTTGCACTTAGTAATACTACAATGCTGCTATGGATTCAATTTCCTCTTGGGC